CGTGGTATAAATTAGATATAACGTGTAATAAAATAGAACTAACAAGCCATCACACGCTACAGACTTGAACTAACACTGTGCAGAATAGAACTAACACTGTGCAGATTAGAACTAACACTCTACAGAATAGAACTAACACTGTGCAGATTAGAACTAACACTCTACAGAATAGAACTAACACTGTGCAGATTAGAACTAACACTCTACAGAATAGAACTAACACTGTGCAGATTAGAACTAACACTCTACAGAATAGAACTAACACTGTGCAGATTAGAACTAACACTCTACAGAATAGAACTAACACTGTGCAGATTAGAACTAACACTCTACAGAATAGAACTAACACTGTGCAGATTAGAACTAACACTCTACAGAATAGAACTAACACTGTGCAGATTAGAACTAACACTCTACAGAATAGAACTAACACTGTGCAGATTAGAACTAACACTCTACAGAATAGAACTAACACTGTGCAGATTAGAACTAACACTCTACAGAATAGAACTAACACTGTGCAGATTAGAACTAACACTCTACAGAATAGAACTAACACTGTGCAGATTAGAACTAACACTCTACAGAATAGAACTAACACTGTGCAGATTAGAACTAACACTCTACAGAATAGAACTAACACTGTGCAGATTAGAACTAACACTCTACAGAATAGAACTAACACTGTGCAGATTAGAACTAACACTCTACAGAATAGAACTAACACTGTGCAGATTAGAACTAACACTCTACAGAATAGAACTAACACTGTGCAGATTAGAACTAACACTCTACAGAATAGAACTAACACTGTGCAGATTAGAACTAACACTCTACAGAATAGAACTAACACTGTGCAGATTAGAACTAACACTCTACAGAATAGAACTAACACTGTGCAGATTAGAACTAACACTCTACAGAATAGAACTAACACTGTGCAGATTAGAACTAACACTCTACAGAACAGAAATAACTTGGTATAAATTAGAACTAACTTGGTATAAATTAGAACTAACTTGGTATAAATTAGAACTAACTTGGTATAAATTAGAACTAACTTGGTATAAAATGAGAACAAACTTGGTATAAAATAGAACTAACTTTGTATAAATTAGATCTAACATTGTATAAAATAGAACTAACTTGGTATAAATTAGAACTAACTTGGTATAAATTAGAACTAACTTGGTATAAATTAGAACTAACTTGGTATAAATTAGAACTAACTTGGTATAAATTAGAACTAACTTGGTATAAATTAGAACTAACTTGGTATAAATTAGAACTAATGTGGTTTAAATTAGAACTAACTTGTTATAAAATAGAACTAACTTGATATAAATTAGAACTAACTTGGTATAAATTAGAACTAACATGGTATAAAATAGAACTAACTTGGTATAAATTAGAACAAACTTGGTTAAAATTTTAGAACTAACTTGTTATAAAATAGAACTAACTTGGTATAAATGAGATATAACATGGTATAAATTAGGTTTATAACGTGGTTTAAATTAGAACTAACATAAATTAGATATAACGTGGTATAAATTAGATATAACGTGTAATAAAATAGAACTAACAAGCCATCACACGCTACAGACTTGAACTAACACTGTGCAGAATAGAACTAACACTGTGCAGATTAGAACTAACACTCTACAGAATAGAACTAACACTGTGCAGATTAGAACTAACACTCTACAGAATAGAACTAACACTGTGCAGATTAGAACTAACACTCTACAGAATAGAACTAACACTGTGCAGATTAGAACTAACACTCTACAGAATAGAACTAACACTGTGCAGATTAGAACTAACACTCTACAGAATAGAACTAACACTGTGCAGATTAGAACTAACACTCTACAGAATAGAACTAACACTGTGCAGATTAGAACTAACACTCTACAGAATAGAACTAACACTGTGCAGATTAGAACTAACACTCTACAGAATAGAACTAACACTGTGCAGATTAGAACTAACACTCTACAGAATAGAACTAACACTGTGCAGATTAGAACTAACACTCTACAGAATAGAACTAACACTGTGCAGATTAGAACTAACACTCTACAGAATAGAACTAACACAGTGTTAGTTCTATTCTGTAGAGTGTTAGTTCTATTCTGCAGCGTGTTAGTTCTAATCTGTCTGTAGCGTGTGAGTTCTAATCTGCAGATTAGAACTAACACTCTACAGAACGGAACTAACACTGTGCAGATTAGAACTAACACGCTACAGAATAGAACTAACATAGAATAAGTTAGAACTAACAATGCATAGGTACGAATTAGAATGAAACAAGATCAGTAAAATATGGAACTTACACACAATAGTGTCATGCAACCTGGGACATATGCGACCTTTTGCTTCTTCTTTCCCTCCAAAGCAACTCCAATGCCCCTGATAATTTCATTATAAAAGAACGGGGCCCATGCAACAGAATTGACCCTCTGAATGCTATCCAGGTATCTGAGTAAGGGTCTAGGGATACCTTCCCCTGCTATGGGACTCCATATCATAGAGCATTGGTACAAAATTTGTAGCAGAGCAAAATCCTCGATATCCCGCTTTTTGGTAGATTCAACAAGCCGTTCAAGTAGCCCTTCAAGATGTTTACGTTGGCTGGTTTCTGATTTTTTTAACTTCTTACCCTCTTCAGAAATGAAAAGCTTAGCGAAGTATTCCAGCCATATTCTGCTTCTTGAGTCCCTATTGTTCCTTATGTCCTCCCCATAAATTGGGAAATAAGTATGGTTGTGGACCCATTGCAAATCAAAACTAACATTTTTCATACCCCCACTTTTTGAATCAGGTATACAAAAGGTGTTATTATCTCTATCGAAAAAGCTCAGCAGCAGCTCAAGGGTGGGCCGATCAGCCGCAGGAGCCCCAAACAAAATGTAGTGCTGAAATATAGAACCGCAGTATGCATCCCTATGCCACTGACGGATCTTCGGGGCAAGGCGCTTCATAAATGCCCAATAAGCCCCGATATTGGCCGTTAACCTTAGTGTTTCTGCTGAGCCTGTTAGAGCAATTTTTTTCCTGCAAAAAATTTTCGAATTTGTACGTTCAATAAGACATATGAAACAATATTAGACCTAGCACTAACGGGAACAAAATAGAGCTAACACGTAATATTATAGAACTAACATTGGACTCATATTAGAACTAACATTGGACTTAAACTAGATCTAACGTTGGTATAAATTTAGAACTAACATTGGACAAAGCCTAGAACTAACAATATTGGGTTAATCTGCATTGTCTCTTCGCAGTATAACATAAGCCTAGAACTAACAATATTGGGTTAATCTGCATTGTCTGTTCGCAGTATAACATAACACTTACTGTTTTTTTGAGGGGGGTTTGTTGGTACGACCAGCCATTGTCGTCCTCCTTTTCTGGTCTCGCCATTGTAATGCCTCCTTTTGCATTTCGATTAGGGTTTTCGTAGCTTCCGTAGCTTCCTCCGTGCTGCCACCCGCAGATGAAGCGCCTTTTCCTTCCAACTCGGCTCGGTGCCCGACCTCGTAGTCGTTACTGGATTTTTCCGTAGACGACGACATTTTTCCGGCGAAAACCCTAGAAACGTTGAAATTCGTACAGAAATTAGGAAGATGAAGAGTTCTTGATGACGGTGCTAGGTGGAAGAGAGAGAAAGAGAGGGAGAGTACTTGTAAAGGTGAGGGGCACATTAACCCAGCTCAGTCCCATCAGAGGGCAAGATAGTAACTTCCGCTGGGCTTTTTCTGAAAAGAGTCAATTCGGGGCCTCGTCGCAAATACTATGCGTATTTGGGGCTATTCCACATGGGGCAAAGTACAGGGGGGCTAGTCACACGAAGTTCCCACTTTTGGGGCCTGGACACATTTTTCCCTTTTTTTTTGTTGTTGTTGAAATTGCAGTCTTTGAAAACTAACATTTGTAAAACTAGTCCATTTCTGTAAGAAGGATTGCAATCAATTTGACTGTGAGTCGTTTTATGGAAAATGGTATTGTTTTGTGCTAAAAAGGTTTCAAAAAGTTGTAGATCTAATGAAAGAAACAGTTGTAATTATAACTGTCATCTTGTGTGAATTATATACCAACCAGAACAACATTAAGGTGGTATGTAAATCAAAAGTGTTGCCTTTAAAAGACTGTCAAGTATATACAACCGTATCAAAGGGGTTCATTAAAAGTTCATCATGAAAAGCATTTACTCCTCCGATGTTGTAGCAGTGCAGCAGCAGCAGCAGCTTCATCAAAATACATATTCCATCTGTTGACACATTTAAAGCAAATTCAACTGCCGAACTTATGTATCCTTTATGTCCAAGACCAAGTACTGTCAATAAATAACTAGGAAGGTATAAGTCTCTTCCACCATAGTACCAATTCTTGGGGAAGTTAGCACTTCACATGTGGTACTTACTTTTTACCCCAAGTTAAAGTTCACTTTATTTTTCTTTTTATCCCCCCTAGTCTTTTTTTTTTTATAAATGAAGTTCACTTTTGAAACTTTTCTTTTTTGGAGGATTTTTGTTAAGAATTCTTCTGAAACTTATGTACAAACTTGGATAAATGTACAAACTTGGATAGTAACTTAAAATGCGTTGGTGGAAAACTTGTACACGGTTGGACTGTTTTTTTTAAAGTTAAAAAATAAAGAGACCAGAGACCTTAACTAGGTTGTTTTTGGAACACTCTTGTCTAACCCTGTGAAGGCCTTAACCGGATTACTGCAAAGTGCTTGATAAGTAATGAATTGCATAGAGGTAAGTTTGTTCTACAATGATTTGAACTCAAAATGTACTCTGTTTTAACCGAGAAAATGTCCTATTTTATAATTTTTTGATACTGTTACATCCAATGTCCTTGTTTTATCCAAATGTGATTTTCTTTTTTCATCCTAAGCTTTAAACAGATATTATGGAAATCCTCAATAGAAATTAGAGATTCACATTTTAAGTGTAAAGCAAGTCAACAAAACAACCCCAACATATCAAAAACATACTACTCATTACTAGCAAACCCGAAGCTATCACAAACTTAGTCATAGCCACATACATAACATATCAAACCAAGCGCAAAACATACACTATCCCTTATATATATTACTATATAACGACTATTTGGCGGGTAGTTAATACTCACCACCTCAGCCAATTTCTACCCCAAATTACAAAGAGAAGCAGAGCACACACCGCCCTTTTCTTCTCCCTGAGCCCTCAGACTACAAACTCATCATTACCTATATGTATAAATATACTATGCCGAGATACTGGATACGAGCTGCCAGCTCATTTATATGACCAATTATAAGTCAATATGTATCAACAACCGACCAAGTTTTTTTAGAGGAATTGGGAACCAGTGAAGGTCTGGCCAAAGGACCATGAAGAAGGAGCAGCATCGTAGGAGACAATGGTGCGGCCGTCGCTAATGGTGACCTTGAAAGAGAGGGATTGGCCGTCGAGGAGGGAGTTGCTCTGCCAGTTTTGGCCCCAGTTTCTTGACATTTGCTCCCACCCTGTCCTTGACCCTTTGATTGACACAGAGTGCACGTCTCCGGCCCCTCCTACGTTGGTGATGAGGACGAGATTGAAGTAGGAGTGGCCGTTGATGGTGAATCTTATACCCCCTCTCTTCCTACATGTTATAGAGTTTATTTTCTCTTCTTTGTTAAGTTGAATATTATCATATCATTCTTAAACGAGTTTCGACTAAGTTTTCTTATGTCCATCTCTGGTCGGCTTTAGGATTTCTTCTTATGGGTCCGTTTATTAAGACTAAACCATTAACTTTTAAGGTAAAGTCAAATAGTGAATTCTAAGTAATGTGACTATGATTACTCTCCTCTCACCATCACTTAGGTCCTATGGAGGATTGACCAGTCTTATTACTATTTCAACTAGATTTTAACCATCTTTGAGTAGTTTCTCTATAAATAGAAGTTTCCTAGTCAAAGGTAAGATGTAGAGTACCCTTTTTAAATCTAGGCAGCAGTAAGCTCATGCACAAGCATGCAACAAAGTAGTAGCTTTCCTAGATGTTTAAAATAATAATAAAAAAAGTTTTCTAGCCAGAGTCCTTTTTTTATCTCCAAATGCACAAGCCAAAATGGAACAACAATCCCTTGTAATAATAAGCCGACAACCACCACCTTAAAGAAGTAGCTTAACATAA